ATAACATAGTCGAACCAGTGACCCTAAAATATAGAGTTACAATTCTTGTCTATTCCTATCCGTTACGCGTTTAATATCTTAAATCGTGTAAGTATAATAAGGACGTTCGTTTTCTTTTGGTCTTCAAAAATGATGGAAAAAGTCGCTCCTACGCGCTCTTCATCAGTGTTCACCATCGTGGCTTCACTAGCGATGCTGCTTTTGTGTTTTGGAGAATTTGTGCGTATTGAGATCGTCTTAAAAAGGCAAACGAATCGGCTTGATGAATTTGAGAAGATAACAACCTCAACACAACGTGACAGGAATACCGCAAGTATTGATGATTGCCATTCCTCAAAATATAATCAAGAATTTGTGAATATGAAGCTAATGTTATATGCTCAAACCTCAAGTATAAAGAAATTAGAAAGAGAGGTTATTTTCTTAAAGAGGAACTCGAAACATGTTGACAATTTCTCAGCAAACAAACCGGAGGATGAACTAGAAACTGACCCGGAACTGACTCACAAAATATCGAAACGAAACATTCGAGCTGATAATTTACCAATATTGAACACCACAAARCAGTCGCTTAAAGAACAACTCACAAAAGCCTTTCATCAAGAGGTTGGTAAAGCAGTGTTAAAGCTACAATCTGCGAGATACTGGATYCCTATTCCAGGACCTCCCGGTCCACAAGGAGAGAAAGGACAGAAAGGTGACGTAGGGACAAAAGGACCACGTGGGCCAAGAGGAAATCTTGGAAGAAGAGGAAAACGAGGACCACGTGGTTTGAAAGGTGACAAGGGAGCAATTGGATTTCCTGGATTTCCTGGTCCCCGAGGCATGCCGGGATTAAAGGGGGATCCAGGTCCTTCCCTAGCACCACCATCAGTATTTATTTCGCCCTCGCATTTAGTTTTCAATGAAAGTCAAACGACCATTTTGCATTGTTCTTCTATCGGTTACCCACGACCTGCTGTAGTTTGGAGCAAAGAAAACGGTTTGCTTCCGAAAGGAAGATTTTCAGTTGACAGCAACGGGAAAGCTTGAACTGAAACAAGTCGTTTCATCTGATACAGGAACATATGTATGCAATGCTTTTAACATTCTTGGTATCAAACACAGCAAATCGACAATTGAAGTGAACTCTCGACCTCGAGTGACCTTGATCAGTGGACCAGTATATGAAAAGATAGGTACGGACATTGTTATGCCAAAATGTCACGTGACAGGACATCCTAAACCAAAGATCACGTGGTCAAAGTCTATTGGTTCGTTAAATATCAGTCGAAGCGTCATTAGAGATGGACAGATGACACTTTTGAGATCGAGAAAAGAGGATTCTGGGATATATTTGTGTAAAGCCGAAAATCTTCTTGGATCAGTTATAAAAGGAACAATTCTTATTGTTGTTGGGCTGCCAAGATTCACTATAAAACCACCTACATCACTTGTCACCTTTCCTGGAAAAACTATTCGCCTGAATTGTAGTGCTACAGGAGAGCCTAAACCAGTCATAACATGGAGAAGAGAAAATGGTGTTCTTCCTATTGGCAGGCATGAAGTAAGAGATGGTTCTTTGATCCTCAAAGATTTTACGACAACAGATTTTGGTGTGTACATTTGCACGGCAACAAGTGCTGATATTTCCCACAAAGAATCAAGATCTACTATCAAGGTTCCTTTTAAAGATTGTTCGGAAATCTTCCAATCAGGAGAGAGACGTAATGGCGAATACACAGTGAATCCTGACAACCAACGTAGCTTCCAAGTGTACTGTGACATGACAACTGACGGTGGGGGGTGGACTGTGTTTCAACGTCGTAAAGACGGATCGGTCGATTTTTATCTCAATTGGCAGCAATACAAAACAGGTTTTGGAAACCTGAATGGCGAGTTTTGGTTGGGTAACGATTACATCCATCGACTGACAGCAAGGACACCATCAAGTCTTCGCGTAGAACTCGGGGACTGGGACGGATCTCGGAAGTATACCAAATATGGTAGCTTTAGTGTAGGTGATGAGTCAGACGAGTACAGGTTGAGTGTTGGCGGGTATTCGGGTACAGCTGGAGACTCATTAACATATAGTGATAACAGGGCTTTTGCCACCAAAGATAGAGATAATAATGGTTGTAGTAGTGGTAATTGTGCAGTTCTGCGTACCGGTGCGTGGTGGTTTGGAAACCGTGCAAATGCTAATCTTAATGGAAAGTATTTAGGAAACATAGTTAAGAACGTTGGCTTATATTGGTACCATTACAAAACTAACTTGCAGTCTTTTAAAACAAGTGAAATGAAGCTTCGACCACAAAACCATAAATAAGTAGATCATTGTCACGGAATGATAGACTCTGAACATTTTACGTCACTGCTTGATTTGCAATGCATTGTGGGATCAGTTTCTAGAGAAAACCAAAAAAAATCCACTATGTTACGTTCTAACCCAATCCTGCAATGTATTCTTTATATGGTATACGTACGTAACGCAAAGACTTCAGAGATCTATTGATATATAGCGTGTGATCTGTTGATGTCCGTATGTCAGAACTCAAAAATATAACTTTTTTTTAATAAGAAATAGAGAAATATAGAAAATATGTTTATCCACATCATCAAATGCAACGTATGTCTTTTCGTTATGCAATAGATTTATTTGTATTATTTTGAAGGTGATTTTCTGACTGATATTACAGTGTAGAACACAGGAAACCCGCGCCATTAAAACCAACTGCATGAGGGTGTAAATGTGTAGTAAACAGGTTGGGAAATTGTGGACGAAAGCAAGTTACTTTTCATTTTTTTCATGTAACTTGATGAAACAGTCAAAATAATTTATAATAATTTAATATATATGTGATTGAAAGTGATTAAAGATTTTTTGATGTGTAAGTGTGTAGTTGCGTTTATGCTTCTTGTTCTTTTTTTTAATTCTCAATTTAATTCTATTCTTCTTTCATTCATTTTTTCCTTCATTTTTCAATAAAAGAGGAGAGTTGGAGTAAAAGAGAGCGAAAACTGAGAAGAACATTGGTGTTTGAGAAACAAAAACTGGAAGGGGAGTTTTGATGTTATATATGAAATATGAGCGGGAAACCTTTATGGACATTTACAATGAACTGCAAGCTGCAAGTAAGCAGTTTTATAGCCAATAAAGGTCATGTCGCTGATAAAAATATATTCCACGGAAAAATGCTGTACACTTAACGTAACCTGGACAACGTGTATTCAACGAGGTACTTTTCGTCATTATATGATATAGCCGCTACATCATATAATGACGAAAACTACCTCGTTGAATACACTTTGTCCAGGTTACGTTAAAACATCCAATTTTTTAAGTACCAATATTCTCAAATGACGTTTTCGGTAGAATTTTTGAAAAATTTGCTCAATTCTACCGAGGTTGTAGGAAAATTTGCAAACATTTTAGAATTTTTTACCGTCCCTAAAATACACTGGTATGACTTTAGTTCAATCCTTGTTTGCCTTACCAGAAATGACTAAAACGACAATGTTTAAACTTTTGACGATTTAATACTATCTTTGACGGGATTGAAAAACTGTATCATTTTTACATATCATGTTATAATCTGTGCCACTCAAGAGCAGCAACATTTCTATGAATGTCTACTACACTCTACTCTATTTATAAAATCGTTCATAAATAACTAAAGGTTATTGAAAATTTCTTTATAAGAATAATTTCGTGAAATGTGCCCAGTATTTGCTGAGGACATCTCTTAAAGTATGGTAAAAATTCACTTTTCATTCTGGTAACTTCAAGTCAAAATGTCTTCGTTAATTGCTGTAAACATTTGCTTGGTACACGGTAAAGTTTCACTTGTTATCACGACATTGAACTGTAAAATGTCTTCGGTAATTGCTGAGGACATCTCGTCGTACACGGTAAAGTTTCACTTGTTACCACGACATTGAACTGTAAAATGTCTTCGGAAATTGCTGAGGACATCTCGTTGTACACGGTAAAGTTTCGCTTCTTAGTCACGAAATTGAACAACTGCAAAATGTCTTCGGTAATTGCTGAGGACATCTCATCGTAAACGGTTACTGCTTACCTTCGCGGGGTGCTACTGTAAAAAAAAATCATATATTGGCTTAAATAATACCTAAGCATATTATGCATCGTTTTGAAGCATTGTAGTTTAATGATCTAGCCGTCTATGACATTGGTTTGTAATAATATTTAATAAGTACTTTATTACATATTAATAATCAAAAATCACGATTCCAAATTTTTCAAATGCCAGTAAATCGAAAAACGTTTTTATTTTTTCAACGAAATTTGTACGGAATATTGGTCGCTTATATATTGTGATACCTTAATTATTTCGGAGATGCTTTGCGGTATCCTTGCTGAGTTTATCATCTTCCAATGCACATCCAAAGCATATTGCACACTCTTTGAGAATATTGAACTTGGACTTGGCCATAGGACGTTGCTCTCATCCAACAGACCAGGCTAGTACTCCTCCTTAATCTGTGGAGTGAACACACGAGACCCTGCGAAGAACTTAGGCATGTGTATCCTGTTGGGCAAAACTAGATGAGGTAATTCTGCCTGTGATATGATCGCATCATCCTGTAGACAATCGCAAGAAACCAGATAAGTTATCATGTAAGTTTCTATTTAAAAATATTTCGATTCACTTATGTAATTTCAAATGATAAAACCACCTTGAGTTTGTCTATGGTCAACGAGTATCTACGGGCCAAGGGCACTAAATGACCTAAGATCGAGAAGAACTTTGCATAATCTAACCAACATAAGACAGTCGATAATAAATAAAGTTTTACTTATCTGAAATGCATCTTGAATATGTCGTTTTAGCCACTAAAAGGCCTTGATTTTACGAAACTCATTCAAATGTTCTTTACACAAACGGTTGTCGCTGAATTTAATGCCGCTGTCCTCGTCTCGACAGGAACGGTTATTCATTAACTGGATTAAAATAACTTAACCGCCATGCCTGAACGCCCTTTTAATCCCGTTAATGAATAACGTGCCTGGCGAGACAGCAGTGGCTGGTACAACGGCGGGATCAACGACATCCGTTTGTGTAACGATCATTTGAATGAATTTCGTGAAATCAAGGGCTTTTAGTGACTGAAACGACATATTCAAGATGCATTTCAGATAAGTAAAACTTTATTTATTATCGACTATCTTATATTGGTTACACTAAGCAACTTCTCGACCTAATAGGTCATATTTCAGTTCTACTAGCGCCCTTGTCACGGGCATCTCATGTAAACATGCAGCCCTAAATCTTCTGAATATAACTGCATTAATTCAGCTTACAAATGAAATTAACTTGAGCACAAGAAACCGTAAAATAAATTTGAGATGATAACATTTTCAGTATGATTATACGTACCGATTGAATAACTGGTCTTATATAACAATATCCTCGTGCCACCGACCAACCATCAAGAAATTCACTTTAACCTAGAATTATGATTCAAAATGTCTTTTTACAATGTAGCTTGAGTGGTTTGGTGTATATGTTTTTCAGTATACAGTTTCGGTGCTTTTCAGTTAATGGCCGTTAATATACAACACATTTATGTGTCAAATTTGCGTACTTACTAAAAGGCGCAATGAGCTACAACGACCTACAATGAGCTACAATGACCTACAATGAGCTACAATGACCTACAATGACCCACAATGAACTACAATGAGCTACAATGAAAGCTAGAATGACTAAGAGAGCACAACAGAATGGGTTTTTACCTTATTTTTATTAAATTTTCGATATGATCCACCATCTTGAATTTTCGGCCATTTTGTTTTTGATGCGTATTTACACAGGGAGTCCGCTAACTACGACAAACTGTTATTGCCACATTTTTTTCTCAACAAATGAAAAAGTGAAAAAAAAAGAAATATAAGTTATGAAATATCTTTTAAAAAACGTGGGATAAACGTTGTGTTGAGGAGCAGGAGAACTTTTAGACATGTACCCAGTTTTAGTCARCCAATTACAGCCCTGTTGATTATGCTTTGTCACTATTATTAACCAAATGTGTGTTGCAGAGGAAATGGAAGCATCTTCCTTTCAAATTATT